GCCCTGGCTGGGCAAGCAGCAGCAGGGCTGAGCCCCCACTCCAAGCGCTGCTGTGCCTGCATGCCACACCTAGTAGACTGCCTGTTTAGTCTATGGCTGAATCCCCAAATCAGCCAAATCTTTTCCAAAGCTTTTTAAAAACAATTTGGAGGCTTTGAATCAATTTGGAACTTTTAATTTGTCTCCCGATTCGATTCAGATTTGGAGATTCAGTCCCCAAATCAGGCCGAATCTGCTCCGAATCGAATCAGCTACTAAAGCTTCACACAGCCCTACTAGATAGCAATCTTTGCCAAAACCAAGTAGAAATAATCCACGTATCTCTGCAGATTTGAGCATGACATAAAGGAACACAATGATATAAGGTGAAGAAACAGTAACATGAAATGTTTTCCAGAGAAGTGTTTGTCAGAATTTTAAACTTTTTTTTAAAGACATCTTTTGTCTGCATTTTTGTTGCAGCTCAGAATATAAAGCTTTGACAATAGCAGTCTCATCATACTAGTAAGACCCATCATTTCTGCTGAAATGTTTCTGCTTAGCAAAACTGAATTTCCACCTTCAAGGGCACAGAAAAATATTGCCATAGAGACCACCTATTTTTAGAAAGAACTATCAAATGTGCATCTAGTACTTTGTACTCTCTTTCTTGATCAGCATAGCTGTGATGAATAACACTTTGGCAGGGAGAAGGGCAGCATTACTGGTGAGTGAATTTTGAAATGAAAACAAACAGAAAACAAAGTATGTGTACAGAAGTTCTGAAGACAGTATGCAGTAGGTTGCATGTGTGTGTGTGTGTGGGGAGGGGGGTTCATTTTAATTCTAGTGGTTACTTTCTTTAGTCTAATCACCATTGTGGACAATGTCAGTTTTTGTCAATTGTATGGAACTCTGGTTTGACTTGGCAATCATACATCAAATCCCATTTTGGTTCACTGAAGTTGAATATTAACATTATCCTAATGGGGGAAATGGAAAACTGTAACACCAGATAGCACTTGTTGAATGCTTCAGGTTAAACTAAAGTGATTTCTATTACTGTCTTCTGATGGGGCGGGGGGGAAGGGGCACGTTAGTTTCTGGTTCCTCTGGAGTTGATTTTTCCATCAAATCTGGCACATACTGTATACCTCCATTGTACAGTGATTTAACAAAAAACATATGGATAATATTACAATACCAATAGTTACCTGAGACAAGTACATTTTGTATAATAAGAAATCATTGAGTACCTAACCTGTGTTTTGCCTCCAAAACATCAGACAATTTAGCCCTGGCAACATTACACATAGAACACGAGAACTCAGAATACTCAGAATTGTCCTCAAAATAAATAGGAACTACAGGTGCAGGATAAAAGAAAACAGGAGTGGAAGAGAATGTTAAAAGACAATGAAATGGGCATGGAAGAAGAGGTACCCAGAGGGAAAGGAAGAATAATGATTTGAGGTTACAGGAAAATGGATGCAGAATAGTAAGCTAAAAAGAGGAGAAGCAATGCAGTAGAAAAATTGTGGTAGGAACAATAATAGGAAGGAATAGTAATAGAACAGTGCTTAATCTTGTAATTAAGGCACTGGAACACAAGATAGGACATCCATATTCAAATCTGGATATTGCCAAAGATGCCCTAATATGATCTTGAACGAGTTCTTTAATCTTTATGTGTCTGTACAACAAAGCTGATTTTTGGTCTGTCTTACCTTTTTAGATTTGCAGTTTTTAGGGTAGAAAGACAGTTTTTACATTTCATATGTACAGTGCCTGAAACAATGGAGACTCAGCCTCAGTTGGAACTGCATATATTTATGTCAGGGTAAGTAATCCTTTGAATGCATGTGTGTGACTAAGATTGGGTTCATTGCTCAGCTATTTTTAATGGAGGAGGACATGAAAGATCAAGTTTCTAGAGCTTTTTCTTTTCTTTTCTTTCCTATAAGGAATGGCTGCAGCCCCATGGGGTTGTAGTCATAGGAGTCTAGTCACTCACTCTTGTCACAATCTGACCTTATGATGAGTATTGATTAGTATATGCCACTTGAGTTAGCTTAGTGCTCCAATTATCTTCTCTGGTTTATTGCCTGATCAAAACTGATTTGCATAATTGCTATATGTTGGTTTTGGATGAATAGTAGTTCTTCACCATATACACAATAAAATGTAATGATGTGCATTTTCAACTGCCCCCATTTCTTTCAAGCCAAGAGCACTGAAGGAGCTAAGAATAAATGGTACACACTATTGAAAGGTTGGAAAAGAACTCAGAAAATTATTTTCACATTTTATTCACCTAATAGAACTATGACACGTACTAAATGCCAACTGTGCTGTTTGATTGGTCTGAATACCAAAGGCTTTTTAAAGATTCATACACTGATGAATAAAATCCTCTGATTCTATTAGAACATCATATTTGTAAAAAAATTCTTCTCTTCCACATTTTACATTTTTATCACCAACATCTCTGCCCTGTTAACTTCCTTTTCTTGCCAAGGGATAAAAATATTAAAGGGTACATCATTTTCCTGACCCATAGCAACATCTATCTGCATTACCACTACCACTACTGTAATTTTTTGTCTACAGCCCAAAATTAGTTCAAAATTGCTGCATTCAAAGCTTGGATCACTTACTGTCATGTCTGTCTACAAGTCTTTGAACATATTATCTACTTATGTTTAGGCTTAATTTCCCCAAATTGATATTTATGCCACCCTCACATGCTACTTCTTCTACAATCAGATTCTGAGACCTTTAGCTATGCTTTAGTCCTAAAGTTATACAGAATGTTATTATGTTAGATGGAATCATTTGTATTTGTATCATTTGTACTTAGTATGAGTAAAGGTTCTAGGCCCTGCTCCTCTATATCCATCACTTCATGTATATGTAATGCTTATAAATATCAATTATTTTTACAGGTCTTTGCTAGATTCCAGGCAGAACGGTGTCAAAAGGGGAAAATCATTTTACCATTTCAACAACACTGGTACTCTAAAATCAACAACTCTTAACAAGTATGTCTAAGATCAGAGCACCTTATTGTCATTTGAATTCTCAGTAGCATATTTTACGCGATGCCTCCATATTTGAGATTTAACAAATTGACAATTCTTGAAATAAAAGAACAGTTGAACTCTAGTAATTCTGAACATGTTCAGAACAGAGGCCAAATTAGACTTCTATTACTCCACTGTGGATCAGGGGTAATAAGTTAATGAATCCGATGAATCCCCACACATGCATTCTCCATGGGACAAACAGCAGTGACACAAGTATGTTCCTGGGCATGCCCTTGCAAGTGAGCTGTGGTGCATGGCAAAGTACCCTGGATGGGGTAGGGGAGGCTGGGGCCAACACCTGGGCTGGCTGCAGCAGCCTTATCTGGGGACCTGGGGGTCTCCTGGGGTAGCCGTGGTGGTGATCTGGGCACACAGAACCTAGACAGCAGCCAGAGCATGGCTCTGGCCAGCCATGCTCCCCTTCTGGTAGCACACGCTCCTGCCACATGCTCCGTGCTGTATTTTTAGTGGTTTTTCTTTCCCACTGGTATCCCCTGGTATCAAAAAAACCCATTGTGCTGCAAATTAGCAGCACAGAGAAAGCATGCACATGCACTGCGTGTGGTTTGTGGTGTTGCAAACTGCATGTGCATGCTCATGGGGACATGTTCAATGGAGTTAATCCAGATGTATGCAGAAGTACCAGATCTCAGAACTGGAACCACAGAGATTCTATGGGTTTCCGCCTTCCTCTGAGGTAATATTTGAGAAGGAGAGTCTAACCATAATTTATACTTAACTTCTGCTTAATCAAGCCAAACAGCCAAAGTTACTTTTGCCCTGGTTTTCATAGGGATTCTCACTGTTTCTACAATCCTTTGCATCTGGTGGATGGCTCATAGATTAGGCAAAAGTGAAGAGAGACAGAAACAGGAAATACCAAATAGAACTGAACACTACAAAGGATGTGTTTAGGGTGTGTCTACACATGACATTAGTGTGCAGCAATAAACCAAATCGATCCAGACCATGCCATGACAAGAAATGTAAAACCTGCCAATATATCTCCACAACCCCCACAATTCTTACACCCTACAACAGAACCATCAGCATTCCTGGATCTTATATCTGCACTTACAAAAATGTAATATATCTCATCCGCTACACTAAATGCCCAGATGGAAAATACATAGGAGAGACCAAACAACAACCAAACAACAACTGCGCACACTGGAAATCTTTCAGAGACAAGAATACCCAATTACCTGTGGGGGCACATTTCTCACAAGAAAACTACTCTCTCTCTCTGATCGCTCAGTTCTAACCCTCAAAGAGAATTTACAAAACACCTTTCATATACAAGCCTATGAACTTCACTTCATCAACCTCCTGGGTACAAAAAATCATGGACTAAATATAGACATTGGATTTATGACACAATATAACTTGCCAGACATCTGACTCCCCAGGTATCTCTCCACTATTTAGCAGCTACTTTCATTCCCCTCCCCTACCCACCAGCCTGTCTCTAACCCACTGACTCCTCAATTTACATCTTCACTGACTGGTTTTATTGCATGCATACCAGCCTCTGGCTTCTTTACTAATCATTCCATCCAGGAAGAGCACACACCAACTGCAGATGTTTCCTCGGCCTGATGAAGAGTATTTATACCCGACAGCTTTCAAAGAAGAATTGTTCCAACTATTTGAGTTGGTCTAATAAAAGATACCAGATTTGCCCAAAGAACCTTGTCTGCCTATGTCCTTAAACCAACATGGCTACAACCTATACCCCTGTATAGGGGTAGCAATAAACTGTGTAGCAATAAGCTTCACAGTTTATTGCTCCTGGAAAGCAACCTAGGTATGCTGTTTACATATATGTCCTGATTGCAGCACATTCAGCTGGGTTGCAGCAGCCCAGCTTCCAGGGGCCCAAGGGGTCAGCCTGCCAGCCTGGGGCTACTCTGGCTAGGCTCAATGTGCTATGGATGGGTTGGGTAGGTCACAAGCATACTTCAGCATGGGGCTAGCCAGCAGGCAGTCCCACACTGAAGCACCCTCAAACCCCAGCCAGCTGCTGTGCATGAAAAAACTCTGCAGAGTTTATTAGTTTTGTGTGCCCTAATAGGAGGTGCATATGTAGCAACTGAGATGTTTATGTGTGATTAATTAGTCAATTGCACAGTAAACATCTTGTGTAGATGCACCCATAACATATTCACATTATTCTTGCTAAATTAGTAGTTTACCAGTAATGTATCACTACTTCATTTCACAAAATACCAAGTTTAGCAAGTTAAAATCAATAATTTAAGCCTTAAGTTTTTTAAAGAAAAAAATAATTAACCTGCCAGCCCAAATGATCCAGTAACACAGGAATTTGTCCAGTTTTTAATTATGTCTACTTTGGGAGTTTTTGTTCTACAATCAAATCCCAAAGCAAGGATTTTCCATGACTACTGAGGTAGCCCCATTCTAATACCATATAGCCATTTGTCACCCCAGGCTAGAACTTTCAACCTGATTATGTGCTGTGAGCTTCATATCTCCATCCCCCACCCCCGCTCCTGAGCTCAAGCCACCTGCACTTTTCTTACTGCAGATACCTACCCCGTCTTCAGCAAAGGTAAGTGGAGGCACCAGACAGCAGCAGCAGGGACTGCTGAGGGCAGCTCACATGGCAGATGGTGGCAACAGGTGGGCAGCTCAGCACAGCTGCATGCTGCCTGATCCTTTGTGCTGCCTCAGGCTGGGTTGGACCTTCCTGGTCTAGATCCAACCTCTTTGTGAGATTGTCATAAATTGCCAGTCCCTGACATATAGGGTACATGGGGGGAAAGACCCGCTCATGTGAGGTGAAGAATCATACATTTTATTAAAAAGCTAAGTGCATTAAAAAGTATGAGAAATATATTAGCTTCCAGGCTGTTTTCGTTCTTTATTTTAATTTTGGGGTAATGGATGCTTCTCAACTTGTATCTTACTATGAGAGGAGATTAGATGGAAATGCTGTTTAATGAAGCACTGCTTATTTTTCCCCTCTGCCATTTTTTACATGACACAAATGGAGAGCAGGCATATTGTACCTCTTTAAACAGTCCAGGGATTTCCATTGTTTAGGTCTGCTCAAGCAGTTTATTCTTATTAGACTGCAAAGAAGACTCATTAGGAGTTTTTGATGCTGAATTAATTTGCTTCCTTTTCTTTGCTGTGTGTCACCTATGAAATCTCTTGAAAAAAAACTGAGCAGAATGCAGTTTGTTTTCAGCATCTTTTTGCTTTTAATGGATTGTTTGTGAAAGTTCTTTTCACAGGAAATGAGGACAATGGGAGATTTTTTCTGTTTTATAAATGAGTTGTAGTTAATGCTAGAGGTTAAACTACAAAATATATAATATGATAGGAACTGCAACATTATCATTTAAAAAACACACATTATTATACCATTTAAAAAATTCTATTAATAATATGCCATGAAATATATTCCCTTGAGATATGGTTAAAAAAATCTTCCTCTTCTTGTTAGGGGAAGAGAACCCAGTAGCAAAAACAAGTAAGCAAATTATTTTTAATCTATAGATAAATTTGCTGATTGTTTTGGCATGCAGAAAGATGGCAAGGTCTATTATTTAGGACTTTTTCAGCTTTTCAGCTGAAACCACCAGATTTTTCCCCCTCAAGGAAAATGAAAAACAGTACTCAGTCAGCTCTGACAGTAATAACTCATGTCAACAATGTTTCTTGTCAACACTGATCTGGGCTTGCAACCACAAGATAAAGTTCTATTGGCACAGAACTGTGATACTTGAAACATTGGCTGTGAAAGCTGAGATACAAACTGGCTGGCTCTGTGAGGGAGAGGCACAAAGTCAGAATATATCAAAAGTGCTTCAGGACTGATAACATGTGTACTATTCATGACAATAAAATAATAACGCTGCAGATAAGAGTCTGAAAGAAACAACTGTATTCTATCTGTGCTGAACAAAAGTGCAGAGGAAGCAAACATTTTATTTGTGTAGTGAAAATATTAATGGCTCTGAGGTCAAAGAACTAAGCACCTTTGCATCTGTAGATTTCAGCTTGTCAATGCCACGTGTGCCTTAGCATGCAGCTTTTAATATCCTGCAGACAACATGTCTTAAGGCACCTGCTGGCAAGGTGTCTTTGGTTTTAGAGTTTATTCAAAATATTCATTTTTAACTGCACCTTCTTCATTGTGTGTATTCTGTACAATATAATGTTTACCTTGGGAGATTAAGGCTTTCATTCAGATTGGAGGGGAGTTACAATGTGTTGGGCAGATTGAACAAACTGCCAGCTTCACAACTGTATGCAGCAACTGTGACCAGCCAAGAAGTTTGGGTTTTGCCCTTGGCAAAATCTCATTTGTCATGACTGAGTTTTGCAAAAAGTCACCCTTCATTCTGAGTTAGAAGCTTATAGGAATATGGAACATTTCACACTTTCAAAGCTTCCTCCATTACCTGGAACTCACGCATGAGAATAATGATCTCCTTTTCCTTTAATAATCCCTGGCCTTCTCTAAGCAATCAGGGGTTAAAAAGGGCAGCAATAAAATAAAAAAGCACTGCAAGCTCTGTGCTGGAAACTGAGAGTATACTGGATGCAATATTGCTAAAACGTTTACAAAAACCTTCACTACATTACTGAGAACCTTCCTTTCATGAAGCATTTCATTTTCAATAATGCTTCATGCTACTGACTCCTGACCCCTCTGGAGCATTTTTGCTACTGGATTAGTTGTTGGCAGATGTAAACTTTTTCTGTATTTACATAGTATTTATATTGTGTCTTTATATTGCACTCCCATAAGGGAGTACAATATAAAGTTGAGAGACTTCCACGTGTCTACACCTGCGTCTAGATGATGCTCTCAGGACAATAACAACCACATAGGGAGTACAATATAATCCATAGATAAATTTAT